CTTTTTTTCAGAAAGGAAAGTTACCAAAATATTTCATGCATGTATACTCAGAAAAAAAGCCATCACTCCTAAAAAAGACTTTTCAGAAAATCATTACTGAAAATGCCAAGTTCCTAGTAGCCACCTAATAAAGTTACGGTTGCCCGAATAAAGAGCAGGATCTAATTGTTAAACAGAGCATATCAGAATGTATGTGGAAAAGCAAATCCTTTTAAACAGGACAAATTAATATTCCCACATTTCTAATTGTTTTTTAAATTCTCCAATTCTACACTTAAGTGGAGCTTCTAAATGAGTCACAGTTATGTCACAATTGTCTGCATTAATTAAATTAAAATACTAACTAACATTTTAAGGGTCTTTTCTTTTATGTAAGAATATTACTTCTTTTTTGCCAGTGTACCATAGTGGAGGCATAGATTTTATAATATATACAGGACAGAAAATAATGGATATCATTATAGCTTTTCCAAAAGATTCTTGGCTCCTAAATCTTAAAAAACAAAATATGCATAGCCTTAAACGATTTACACTGAATTAAAAGAGACAAATTTCCTAAACATTCATATTGTTAATATTAAGAATAAAATACAAGAAAGGTAAACTTTGTCGGGTGTATGAAATATTCTTTAACTGACAGTTTAATCTATTCAAGTGATTAAGCAGTAGAAGGCATTTTTAATCAATAATGATGAGTTAGAGAGATAGTGATTTCCTGAGGTTAATTTGGTTTTCATGTGTTAAGATACTGAATGAAATATAAAATGTTGAAAAGTCTTATTTCAAATAACTGACAGTTTCTGTTAAATTAAGTTGTTCCATTTACTTCAGAATTTCAAAAACCCCTCAGGAATCTTTTGGTAAAATGCATTTAAACAACTGTTTTGATTTCCAATCAGCACAGAGCTTGTGCTGTGTAAAACTAACAAATACATTATGGCATTAGCTTTCATGAATCACAGTCCACTTTATAGGGTGCATAAACTGCTATAGTGCATTACACGCAATACTGTATAATACTGATGAAACAAATATGATATACAAAATGGAGATGGAAGCTTATGCACAAAATGGTCATAGAGATATGTAATTACTGCTAAATAAGGCAAAAGGCTACTGATAGAATAGAATCAGATGATTATTTTGCAAATGACAGAAGTGCCTTTTAAAACAAGGGGTTTTTCTCCACTATTTCAATTATTAAATTACTTTCAAAAGGACCATCATAGCAAAAACACAACTAAGAACTACACTGGCAAAAAATGGCAACAAATGGAAGGCAAAATATAGTTAGTTTCATTTTGTTTTACAGATCAGAAAGATAAAGCCTAAAAAGACTACATTATGCAGGATAAAGATATAAAGATATTAGCAGTTAAAATATTTGTAAGTGGCAGTTAAAGAGGAGCCTAAGAATTGGGGAAATATAAATGTCAGTTTCTTAACTAAATATTTAAAAATATTTTTCTCAAGAGAAACTTTCAGGTATGAACATATACAAATGCATGTGAATGTTATTATGAAAGGAAAACTATTATAACCAATGACAAGTCCCTGCTGATTATGATTTTGATATCTGCTATTTTGTGGCATGGATTGGTGCCAGAAATACAAGTCTTTTGCTCACTCTCATACAGACACACACACAATGATCAAGAAAGCATTAACCACTAGTCAGTAAAATACACAATCATATTTCAGAAATCCTAAATATACTTTATATGAACATGATGGCAAATTACAATTAGATTTAGCCTGTAAGACTGTCAAGAGCAGGATAATTATCGGTTACCAGTATCATTAAGAAATAATCTAAACAGCTAGAATCAGCTAGGAAACTGCTGCCAGTTTTCAGTAACAGTGCCAATTAAATTCAACAGGAGGTAGATAAAGATGTTCAAAGACCACATGCAGACTACCAGGGCTGTCCAAACCTTAAACAGATGACATTTATATATCAAGCACATTTGAGTCATGGCTATCTTAGACTCTGGAGATAAATTAATAATCAAGAACACAGAAACTGAGCCCACAGAATCATCCTTAGCCAAAATTTTAATCTTAACAACTGGTATGAACCAGTATGAACTGGTATGTAGATGAGCTGAGTACTGCTAGAGTGCTAAAGTATATAAACGTAGTCCTTGAGAGTAGCAAATTCTTCATGAGTTGTCACTATGGAGAAGAGCTAGCATATACCTGGCTGATAGACTTATAAAGCCTAGACCATAAAGCCATATAAAGTAAAATCTAGTTTACTAGAAACTTTCATGACCTCATATCCAGAACCTTCAAACTTACCTGGCTTACTTAGACTTCTTGACTTAGTCTAAAGTGCAATCATGCTTTTCACCTAATCTCTTAAAGTATAGCATATTATTTCTGCACTTGCTTTACATAAAAGACTGAAATAATCTTTTGCCTGCAGTGTTTCTGGGAACTTATTTGCATGCTCAATCTTGGTCAGTTCAACTCCTCCCTCTCTCTCTCTCTCTCTCTCTCTCCCTACACCGAATTCTGACTTATGAGAATCTTTATTTAATCCTCTATAGTGGTGGCTAACCTTTTTGGGCTCCTGTGCCAAAAATTGTGTACACGCTTGCATGCTCGCATGCCAGCACCCAGAAGGCAATGTGCGCCACCTCCACCCCCTACGTATCCACATGCAACTCCACCCACCCACCACCCCCTTATCTGTACTCCGCCTCACAGCTGATTTTCGGCCAGTTTAAGGTATTTTTCAGCCTCCCAGAGGCTTCAAGAAGGCTTCTGCAGGCTGAAAACTAGGCCCATTTCATCACTTCCGGTATTTCTGGAAAAACAGGAAGTGATGAAACAGGCCTAGTTTTCGTCCTGCAGAAGCCTTCCTGAAGTCTCTGGGAGGCCAAAAAAGGTCTCACACCAGCCAAAAATCAACTGTGAGGCACGCGCATGTGCAGTGAGGTAAGTTTGCCTGCAGCCCGTGTGCCAGCACAAATGGCGCTCTGCGTGCCATCTGTGGCACACGTGCCATAGGTTCACCATAACGGTTCTATATAATCTTCAAATAAACATAAGCGTAGTGCTGTGTTCCACTTGATCCCACAGCGCTGTTCCTTACATAATAGCAGAATTGCATAACAGCAAAAATATACAAGATTTTTTAATTTTAAGGATACCGTTCATGCCAGTACTGTATTCCCAATAGAAGTCAATTTTGGATAGCAAACATTCTCCTGGACCAGAGGTCTCCAACCTTGGCAACTGGCTGAGGAATTCTGGGAGTTGAAGTCCACAAGTCTTAAAGTTGCCAAGGTTGGAGACCCCTGCCCTGGGCAATATTGGAAAAAAACTTCTTCCTTTTCTAATGAGAACTGTCTTTGTAAATTTTAGACAAATTTTGTGTTACTATTTACTGCTTTAATGTTTTTGGTTTTTTTAATGATTGTAAGCTGCCTAGAGTTGCCCAGGAAAAATAGGCGGCATATAATTTTAATTAATTAATTAATTTTAAAACTGTCTAAGAATTAAAATCTCTTTTCAAAATGCAATAAATTTCATTTTAACAGATTCATCCGAGGAAAGGGGTACTCGATATTCCAAACTTTCAGCCGGAATACAAATGGCACAACTACAATGAAATTTGGTTCACTAAAATCTATTCTTCAAGAACTAAAACAAAAGTTTTACTGTAAACAGCGAATTTGAATATATAAGTACGGTATAAACTATGAAAATACTTCTGACTTATGCTATCTCAGTTTCAGAAATCATTTTATTCTTCAAAATGAAAATATAACATAAAATCATATTAATATTCAGCAATACATAATCAGATATACTCTCTCATTGCCCAACTTAATAATGGCCTTGTTCAAAATTGTTATACTAATTTCTATCAAGCTCCAAACTAAAATTTATGCATAATGTACTCTGTGTGTGTGTGTGCGTGTGTGTTTGATTATATTGCCTGTTTTAAAATAAAATTAGTCACTTGTTAAAGAGAAATATTATGTAACTATTCCTAATAAATTTTATATACTTCCCCCCCAAAATTATACATTTTCTCCCAATAAATTTTGAACTGACATATAGTACAGCAAAACCAAATGTTCTGTATAACTTAATCCTGATACAATAGACATTCCATCGAGCATAAGAGCATCCAGTTGCCCCTCTCTGTTGACATGTACATAAAATGAATTCAGCATTCAAGACTGGCCAATGTGCTCGTGTCTCATCTTTATTTTTGTGATTCCCTCTAATTGGTACATAACACAAGCTCAACACTCTTCAATGATCTATTTTAAAGTAGTTGAACAAGAACTCATTTAGTGGTCAAAGTTATGACCAAACACAGATGACTTGTAGTTGCGGCCGTCATAGCATCCTCATGGTCATGTGATTGTGATTATGATTGCACTGTTGCACAGGTACATGATCACCATTTGAAATCTTCATTGTCAGCTTCTGACAAGCAAAGCCAATGGGAAAGCTGGCAAAAAAGAGCTTTCAAAAAACAACTGCATGACCAGGGGACACTGTGACCTTCCCTGTTAAGCTTCACCTAACAAGGGCAACTGGAAGTGCTCCAACTGCCACCATAAATCATGTAATGTCCTTTACAACTGCATCATTTAGTCAACAGTTGCCAGTCCCAATTACTATTATTAAACTAAAACTGTCTGTATTACCAAGATCATCATTGCAACTGTCAATATAACAAACAGCAAGGGAGAGTGATCAACATCTCTGTTTATATCATGGTAATTACAGCTGAAGCATATATGTGATATATATTTATTTCTGGCACCAAATAAAGTTACATACTTTTATTTTTGCTCTCCTGGCCACTTACCTATTCCTTGTACAAGCCTCAAATTTGCTTCAAAAATCTTTTGGAGCAGGTTTGAGGGGGGAGGAAGAGTAAAGCAGCCACTGTTGGGAGATGGCTCTTGCTTTGGGAATACATTATACAGTATTTAATACTTAAAACTGAAAATCACAACAATTATAAATACCTTTGAAGATTTCAAGTTCTTTCCTGCAAAATAAAAAGAAAAACATAATGTATGTCAGAGATTGGTTTTATTTGCAGATAACATACTTTTATTTCCAAACCCATACTACTGTTCCAGCACAGATGCAAAACATGGATGCCATTAGCAAAATAGCAGGATCATCTATTAACTGGTTGAAATTGAAATTGATGCCAATAGCTGAGAATTTGATTATCCATCCATTTAAGGACTATTAATTCCATATTTGCATCAAATCCATTCAATACTTAGATATGTATATACCGAAGGATATAACTCATCCAGTTGCAGAATAGCTAATTAATCTGAATATTTATATTAATACAACTGAAATATCAAAAATATGTTATCAATTCTTAAAATCATTTGTCTGAAGTCAAAAGGTAATAACAAAATGAAAAGTCCCAGAGTGAATCCAGACTGTGTAATAACTATCTGAAAATAATAAATATAGATGGGTTGAAACTTTTGTGACTATATTATCACAAAATAATGACTATTTCTATCGTTATTGAATGATAGAATAAGCTTTAACTTTTCTTCTTTCTACTGTTTTAGAGTTTTGTAATTATTTGTTTTATTTTTGGGAATAGGTGATTCATTCTGTTACAGTTCCTTTTTATTTTTGAAAAAAAAAATCATTGTTTCCCTTTAACAAACTTTACATGATTTACACTACGTGGATTTTTTATAATAATGCTGGGCATGGATTTTAAAAAATATTTCTTTAATTAGAAGCAAGCATATCTTTTATTTTTATTTTTTAAATGTTCTGAAAAAAGCAATAAAGAAAAAAATCATTAATAGTAGTTTACAAAAAAAAATTCTAATGTTCAAATTACACATTGCTTTTCATAATTCACATATGGATAAAAGAGCAACCCGAATTCTATTGGAAAAATAGATTAAATTTCTTTTTAAAAAAATATATATTTTATTGATTTTACAATTAAAACAAACCAACAACACATACATAAATGAAAGAGAGAAAAAGAAGGGAGAAGAAAATAGAAAGAAAAAAATAGAAAACAATTAAAAACATTCTCATCTTCAACGGTTTGTAAGACCTCTTTTTTATCCTTATTTTATGCCATATACACACACCTAATCCTTACATATATCTGTGTATCACTACTATGGATTTATCCTATCCTCTTTTGTCTTTTAGTGTGAAGTCTATCTTTGGTCTATCCATTTGTACCAGCAGTTCCAGCTGTTGTAGTATATTGAAGTGTCTTTATTTTTTAATGCCAAAGTTAATTTGTCCATTTCTGCACAACTTGAAATGTTTTGAATAATCATCTCCTCTGATGGAACATGAGGCTGTTTCCAACATTGTGCAAAAGCCAATCTGGCCGCTGTCAAATATGTATTATTATATATTTCACTTTTGGGGGGTAGTTGTTTATCAAAGATCCCTAACAGAAAGGACTCTGGTTTGAATTCGATCTGTTCTCTTGTCATTTCTTCCAACCAATTTCTAATTTTCTGCCAATATTTTTGAGCTTTTGTACAGGACCACCACATATGGAAAAAAGTTCCCTCTTTTTTTTTTTTTTTTGCATTTCCAGCAATTCGGACTCATATTGGGGTGCATCTTCGCTAATCTCGAAGGAGGAAGGTGCCATCTATAAAACATTTTATAGGCGTTTTCTTTGTATGCTACCAATTTTGTAATTTTATTATTTCTACCCCAGACCTTTTCCCATTCTGTTATGGTGATGATACGTCCTATATTCCTACTCCAGGCTATCATGTTCCCTTTTACAATTTGTTGTTCTAATTCTACTTCTAATAAATAATTATAAAATTTTGTTACATTTTTTTTGCCTGGTCCTAATAAAATTTTATCTAATTGCTAGAGTTTATTGTTAATTCCAAATTCTTTCTTGTCCTGTCTGTATCTACTTCGAATCTGAAGATATGCCCACTGATCAATTTTTAGTCCCCGCTCTTGAAGTTCTTGCCACGATTTCAAATTTCCTTGTGTATCCAATAGGTCCTTATATTTAATCATTTTAGTGATATCCAGATTATTTGGGTGAATCATCGCCTCCATAGCTGAAATCCAAATTGGTATTTTTAAATAGTGTTTTTTCCGTATTTTCTTCCAATTAGTTAATAATGAGTCTCTGATTAGGTGTCTGTGAAAATATTTCTGGCTAGTTTTCCCTACATCCCATAAAAAAGCATGCCACTCCCTCTACAAGTCATAGCCTTCTAAGAATAATATTCTCTTATTGGTTAAATTCACCCATTCCTTCAACCATACTAAAGAGGCTACACTATAATACAACTCCCAGTTTGGAAGGGCCAGCCCTCCCCTGCTCTTCATATCCTGCATTGCCTTTAAATTTATTCTAGGTTTTTTCCCTTGCCAGATAAATTTTATAGTTATTTTATTAAGTTCTTCCAAAAAAAAATTGTGTACTTTGATTGGGATCGTCTGAAATATATATAGGAATTTTGGAAGAATATTCATTTTAATAGCAGCAATCCTGCCTAATAATGAAAGTTGCAGCTTGCCCCATGTTTCTAAATCCTTCTTTACCTGTTGCATCAATTAATCATAATTATTTTCTTAAGTGTCTTACAATGTGCTGTCAACCATATTCCTAAGTATTTAACTTTCTTTATCACTCTGTATTCCCATAACTTCTTCTAGTTCTATTTTCTGTTTTTCTGTTAAATTTTTAGTCATTAATTTTGTTTTCTTCCTATTAATTTTAAGTCCTGCTATTGCTCCAAATTGTTCTAATTCATTCATCAATTTTTGTCCTCTTTCTATTGGTTCCTCAATGAAAAAAATCATATCATCTGCAAACGCTTGCAACTTATATTCTTCTTTCTTAACCTTTAATCCTTTTATGTCTGGGTTTTGTCTAATTCGCATTAGTAATGCTTCTAATGATAATATGAAGAGCAGGGGTGAGAGTGGGCAGCCCTGTCTGACTCCTTTTCCTATTTTTATTGGACGGGTATATTCCCTGTTTATTATATTAGCCTATTGTGTATCATAAATGGTTGTTATAGTATTTTCAAATTTGGTGCCTAAATTCATATTATAATTTTTTTGGATTAAAAATTGCCAATTTAAATTATCGAAGGCCTTCTCTGCATCTGAAAACATAAGTGCAATTTGTTTTTCAGGGTGGGCTTCGTAAAATGCTAAGACATCTAGTACTATTCTTAAGTTGTTCCTGATTTTTCTAGTCGGGAGAAATCCATTTTGATCTTCATATATATGCTCATTTAACATTTTGTTTAGTCTACTTGCTATAATAGAAGTGAATATTTTGTAATCAGTATTTAACAGTGAAATCGGCCTATAATTATGTATATATCGGGGATCCGAATCCTCCTTCGGGATCAGCGAAATCAATGCCCCCCCTCCATGAGTCCGGCATCCTGGCTGCCAATAAGACGTCATTAAAAACTTCCACCATAAGAGGTCCTATTTGTTCTGCTATTGCCTTGTACAGCTCCCCTGGAATCCCATCTGGTCCCGGAGATTTATTGTTTTTCTGGTTCTCTATTGCTGATTTCAATTCAAACCAAGTAATGTCTTTGTTTAATAATTCTTCCATTTCTTCCCCAATTGCTTTATCCTTCACTTCATCTAAATAGTTTCTTATTCTATCTTCATTAACTTCTTCCTTTTTATATAACTCTTCAAAATACTTATGGGCAATTTCTTTTTTCTGTTCTATCTCCTGTTGTATATTCCCCTTTCCATCTATTAGCTGGTATATCAATCTCTTTCCTTTCCCTTTTTTTAGTCTATATGATAGCCATCTCCCTGGCTTATTAGCATGCTCAAAATAAGTTTGTCTAGTTGTATTCAAATTTATAATCATTCTCTCTTGTTCAATTAAATTCAATTTATGTTTAGTTATTATTATCTGATTTTGCAATTTTGAATCCTTTGGGGTACTCTGTAATTGAGTTTCTAATTCCTTAATTTTTTTGTTGTAATTTGTTTTGCTGAGCGTATTTTTCCTTATTCCTCTTGGCGTTATAAGAGATGGTTATACCTCTTATTACTGCCTTCATTGTATCCCAAATGTTTTGTAGTTGCTCCATTATCATTTTCCTTTAAGAAATAATTTAATTCCTCCTTGAGTTTGTTGGTGTATTCTTTTTCTTATTAACTGAGTATTTAACGTCCATCTTTTCTTGGGTTTTCCCTGCTCTTACATATTATCTGAATTGGATTGTGATCTGCCCATTCATTGGGTAGGATTTCAATCCCTTTTACCTCATTTGCTATTTCCCCATTCATCCATGCCATATCAATTTGTGTCCATATTTGATGAGGATTTGAATAGAACGTAAATTGTTTTTTCTCGATGTAATCTTCTCCATATATCAATCAAATTTAACTCCATCATTTCCATACATATTTTGGGAAGCTCTCTTTTCCCCCCTTTGTTCTTCCCCCCATTACTGTGGTCTTTTTGATAATCAGAATTAAAGTCTCTATGATACAAATATTTCTTTTTTCCAATCCTACTATTTTTCTATAAAGATGCTCCGTCCGGGGCGTAGATTACGACTAAGAGAATTGGGATGGCATTAATCCAGATCTGCAAAACCAGAGTTCTTCCCTCAGAATCTGACCATATTAAATCTGCTTTCAAATCCTCTTTAATATATACTGCAATCCCTTTCTTTTTCCCCATGTCTGCTGGTGTGGTAAATAGCTTCCCTAATTTCGGACATTCTAAGTATTTTTCATCTGTTTTCTTTATATGAGTTTCTTGTAGGCATATTATATCAGCATTTTGTTTGATTAGTTTAGCTATTATCCTTTTCATCGTTGAGTTTAAACCATTTATATTAATTGATAGTAGTTTCTTTTCTTCTTCCATTTGATTAATTCTGTTTCGCTCTTTGTCTTGTAATGGCTCCGGTCTCTTCTTATGCCTGAAGATGTGTCCTACTTTCTTCTCTCTCCTGATGTAGATGAGTATTTCCTTGATTTCCTAAAGTTCCATCTCTGTCC